TCAATAAAACTCTCACTCTCCTGAATCTCCCGTAACGTCCGGATGCGTCCCTCTAAGTCTGCGATCTTCTCTTCTATATGGGGATATATAGTGTGTATCTTGATATTATTTTAATGTTACATTGCCAAACTCTAGTCCTAATGTACTTAAAGCCTATATGGTTATAATCTGCAATTATATTTAAAATTGTATATATTGCATGCTATTTGTTTCTTGCTGACTTTTCTTGTACTTTTTTTTTCAAACAGCTACCCCTCCACTGCAGAAAAGTTAAATTTGGCAAAATGCTTAATTACAGTCTTTCCATCCCTAAATCTAAATGTTTCAGAAGAAAACGAAGGATATGTAAGTATTAAAATAAAATCTGTCATAATGCAGTTCTGCTGAAATATTACTATGGGGAAAGGGTAGATGCTTAACAAAATACAAATATTTTTATAGGAGCATCTGTATGACCCTCTTTCACATAATGGATTCATAGAAATTAAGCTCCGAAATATGAGACGGCATCTAGAAGAAGGTCAGCGTCGCTATCAGCGAAAAAGGAAAGTTCCCAGTGTTTCAACAGGACCATCAACAACTCAGGCAGATGACCCAAATGAATGGTTGACTGTCATCAAGCGAATGAAGCCATCATCTGAGAACATCACCACCATCAGAACTGCCATGGACAAGACTTTTAACCACCGGAGGAACTGGATCAGCGCACAATCCCCAGCAGTCAGTGAAATTGCCCAACAGTACCCCCGTTTCATCGACATGCCATCTCTGGTAAGAATTTGATTTGCATTTCATCAAGTGTTATGATTAGTTGAAAATTTGAATTTAGTTGAAAGTCAGCACTGGACACGACTGCTATTTCTGCTGGTTGGAGGGCCGTTACTTTGTTTACACCAGGCGTGCTTCATGCTATACTGTATTATAGTGTATATTAACAGTGTACTGGTATTTTCGTTTGTAGTCTTTTTGTGGATATTAGCCACTACAGACTTAGTGTCGGAAATGACGGACAATCAGCAACAGCAGACCAATGTTCCCACCTTTTTGTCTGTTAAACCGAGGGTTGAGTGTAGTATAATAGATATTCAACAATATTGAAGTTCTAATTGTTAAAAATACCTCTCCTTCTGCTTCTGTATACTAAACATTAGCTAGATGTAGAATTTGGAAAGATGTTTGAGGGAAAGGGAGAGATGTTGATCCGAAAATGGGAGTCAACAGTTATGCCAAAACTGGAAAGTATTGCTGCTTTGGAGAAAGGAAGTATAACATCTCTGTTACACCAAATTACAGACTGTAATGACAGTAAGTAATAATTAAAATTGTCAATTTCAATTTGCAAAATGTTGCTTTTATATAAAACTAACCTGACATCTTTAAATGAGTTTGAGTTGAATTTTTCTATTCAGTTCAACTAATTTTAATGGGTAGCAACTTGATAGAGAACATTATTTCAACATTCATGGAATTAATAAAATCTTTAATTCATTCATCTTCACTTCTTGTCTTTTGCATTAAATAGATGAGAAGTGCTATACCATGCTGCGGATCCTAACACACTTGCTTCCACCAACTTCAGGAAGAGGTGCTGTGTCAAGCCACTGCAGTGTCAAATCTGCAATTTCATATCTGCTGGACATTGTACCGGTAATTTTTTATTGATGGTTTTTATTCAAATCTTCTATCTTGTAGGGTAATTTAGTAAGAGCCCATGAACTTGTGCAGCATGTAAA